CTCTTGTTCTTTCTCCTCAGCAGTGCCAGTGTAACTATTTGTGTGACTTCATGGGGAACAGGATAAGAGGTCTCATGAATGCTAAAACTGTCCCCTCTCCCACTATCCTTTTCTTCTGCACAAGTTATTACAAATCTAATAGAATACAGCTGCTTCTACTGCCACAGCAGTTAAGAAAATACCTGTAGAAGCATAATGTCTTCAGTTATCTTACTTCATTAATCCAAGTTGAATACCAAAGTTACCAAAGTTACAATACTGGAAGCAAAATGTTCACAAAAAAAACAAACATGAAATGCAATCCAAGTTCACGTTTGATACTTTGATATATTTTTAACTACATAGTTTCTGTTAATAGTCCAATTATATAAGCAAATTTGAACATTTTTTAAAATATGAGGCTATATGTCATTTACAATACAAAATCCCATTATTTTTAACACAGAATTTCAAAGAGATTGAGTAATTCAGATAATTCTTTTTTTGGGAATTTCCATTCAGATCCACCCATAGTCCACAAAACTTCAGGCTAAATAGAAATTCTAGCAAGAGGGCCATATAGTACTGTAAGCAAGCCACTAGAAAATGCTGTAAGAAAGGCAATAAAAACTCAAGTCAGACATCAAAAATCATACAAACAGGAAGAAAGACTGATTTAGGACCTGGGAAGATGCAAAGCTGATCAAATCTGTTTGTCTGTATCAGCATGGTAGTAAACTTCAGGTAAACCAGCTGCTGTCAGATAAGCATCTAGGTTTTTATTAAGGAAATACAATAAAACATTGAGGTAACTCTAATGGAAAGATGGTTTCACATGCCACAGATACTGAAAATCTTAAAATGTATTTTGCTGAAATTCTTAGCCTCCAATAAAGTAAAAATTCAGCTTTTCCCGTTTCAACTAACACTAAAAATACATTTTGTCTTAGAAAAGTCTTTGGATTTAACACCTCTATAGTAGCTAACTGCTCGTACAGCAAAATGTGCTTTATTAATATTAATTAATATTAATTGTTTAAAAGTGTCAATGTCAGGAAAACAATTTAAGTCTACCAATGCCAATCTGTTATTCTGACTGCCATTCTCACAAAGACAGTGTTTATTTTATTAAAATAAATTAATGCAGTAAACAAAAGCCAAAAGAGACTAGGAATGCAGGTCCATTCATCATTTCACCATGAAAGTGAGATAGAAAGAGGCTGAGTATAGAAAACAGTGCCTCATGCTCCTTAGTGGAAATGCTTGCAGGAAACAAAGTTACAGGTTGGGAGACAAATCTGAAAATAATGTGAGGGTAATTTGGCCCAAATTTCTAGAATTTAGGAAAAGCAAACGTTCATTTCTGGTTCTAGTTGCAATAGTCAGTACAGTAACAGCAGGAGTAGAAGAGATGGGAATTTCCTCTAACTGTGTTTTAAAATGGGCTTGCAGCCTCAGAGAAAAAAAAAGCCAAGACATGTCATTGTATTTTGTGGCGATGAGATGACTTCATAGCATCTTAAGACCTCTCAAACTTACTATTTGGTATTAAATGGAAAGCTCATCCTTGTCAGCTAACAGGAATAGGTGCTCAGTTCCATCTCTCTATTTTTTTCTTTTCTGTGTTTTGAGGAAATGGAGAAAGGCATGGTATTTAAGTCTCTAGAAGTTATTTTCTCCTGAATTCCAGTGCTGTCTTGGTGCTTGCATTGATTGTTTCAATTAAAACAAAAACAAAAGCTTGTCAGCTAACAGGAATAGGTGCTCAGTTCCATCTTTCTATTTTTTTCTTTTCTGTGTTTTGAGGAAATGGAGAAAGGCATGGTATTTAAGTCTCTAGAAGTTATTTTCTCCTGAATTCCAGTGCTGTCTTGGTGCTTGCATTGATTGTTTCAATAAAAACAAAAGCCTCAGCATTCATTTTATTAAGCCTTTATTTTTAGTTTGGATATTTGTTTTTACTTGTAGCCTTATATACACTGTGCTTTTCAGACCACAGTGTGATACATGTAACAATATATTATGAGATCTGTAGAGGAAAACTATTGTAACTAAAGGCAAGAAATAATCGTAGTAAAGTTGAGTAAGGTTGAGAGCAAAATCACTCTATTACTAGCACAGACTTCGTGGCTGGCATCTGTAAACTTTGAAAAACCCTGGCTCTTTCTTTTCCTATTTCATTTAATACACTTTCTGGTAAAACTAGCTTTCTGTCTGAGTCAGCACAGTGGGGACAGTGGTGCCCCAAAGGTCTCAGTCCCCTGTGCCAGGCAGTGTGACCACCTCCGGCACATCAGAAGCCTTGAACCAGACAGAGCTCCTGGGGAAGGATGTCCTCGTGTCAGTATGCAGGGGCAAGGGAACAGCTCTGCAGGAAAGGGCTTGGGGATCTTGGTGGACACCACATTGAGCATGAGTCAGCTGTACACACTTTCAGTGATGAAGGGTAACCACACATGGGGCTGCATTAGTAAAAACATAGTCAGCAGGTCAAGGGAAGTGATTATTCTCCTCTACTTTGCATTCCTGAGGCCACATCTGAAATACCTGCATCTAAAATACTGTGTCCAGTTTTGGTCTTCCTGTGGAAAAGAGATTTGTATCTTAAACCAGTTAGTGAGGAGGCTGGCCTAGAGGACTTGTAGGATCCCTCACACCCTATTTGATTCTATGCAAATAGCCTGTCAGTGAAGTGTTCAGATCTCTAGATGCATTTGTTTGAATCTTGTTAACTGTCTTTTATAACTGATCACCATATTTTAATAAGGTAAAGGACAACAGGGGTTTTAGTGTAATCTGCACTATTGCCAGCGCCATGTTTCAAATGATAAAAGATTGGTTAATTTTTATAATAAAACTTGTTATTTTTTAATCTTGATTGCCTGTGTTGGTTGCATTAGTTGTTAGCCAAGGAGTTCCCTTCTGTGATCTTTCATCAGCCACTTGTATAACTTCGTGCCACTTGGATAAGGCATTCACACTGCATGCCTTTATGCATCTACTGAAGCTGAGTTAGTATCTAGGCACCCTGTGGATTCAGTGGAGAGCACATACGATTTCTAGGCTCTGTTAAATGCTCTGGATTGTCCTCTCTGTCTGTGTAAGGATTCTAGCATCTTAGCTTTGATGTTTGAATTTGATATCTTAAGTTAGGCATTGTGAATGGCTTCTCTTCACGGCACCAAATTAAGTCTGTTTTCATGCTCCACTGTGTATCAATGTTCCACTGTGTATCAATGCATAGGGGATGACAGATTTTCACTGTCTCAGTGGGATGTTGAAGAGATCATACCATAAGTCATTCCATTACAGCGCTGTTGGGATCTTTGTCAGAGCTTTAGGTAAAAGGAACAGTATGCTTGAGAGGTGATTATTTCACTCTGTTTACTTGAAGACAATAAAAGGATTTGTTTTGACCTTTTCTTTCTTCCTGAAGAGATGAAACAGATTTACTGAAATGAAAGTGACACAGAATTGTGCCATTGCCATCAGGTTTTAGTAGTTACCATGATAATTCAATCATGAAAGGAAAACAAGGGAATCAGCCGATATATATTTAAGCGTTCAGACCAAGAATGTTATTTTTGTGACCAGCAAATATAATGCTTTACAACTCTTTTAACAGTAAAGCATATCAGTTAATGTATATATATCTGTTAGGATACTTTGTCTTGTTAATATTGTGTGTGATGGGTATTTTATATTACCTTTTTTAGCAAGTATATAGAGTTCAGTATTCATGCTCACCATCAAACTCCCTACAAATGGCAAATGTTAGGTTAATAACTTTTTCAGTAAGTCATGAATGAATAACTTCCTATTAACCTCTGTGTGTCATTTTGAATGCTCATGTTGACATATATCATAAATTAAGCAGTAGAGGACTTCACCTTAGAGCAGAAAATCCCAGGAAAGCCCAGTAACTTCGTGGAGCAGTATTCTTGATTCAGTAGTTTGCTTTCTTCTAGGTTAGTACCAAAAAGAAAGCAATATAGCATATGAGTATAAATATCTAATTTTTAAATGTAGAAGGTAGCAGTGATACTCTCCAAATTATATACAAAGCAAACATATGCACAATCATTCAGATAATTATAATTGTCTTTCACAATAGTGTATGACTAAAACCTAACTCTCATGACACTCATGGGCACTTAAATAATCTACATAGCTTTCTGAAGTTTAGTTGCTGAAACTATTGCATGTCACATGTTTTAAATTTAGACCAGTGTACTTCCATGCCACTATTTAATGAACTTTTGTTGTTCCTATTGAAAGATCTCATAGTTAAAAAAGCATATCCCACCAGCATCCAAATGTGGGGGATTTCAGAGGTACATACACAGTGCTTTACTGCAGATAGTAAGGAAACCATTGGCATTTGCAGAATAAAGTTGCTATAAACACATACAAGATGCATAAAAAATGAATAAAATGCAATTGCACGGTAGCATGTGTCAGTGCTGTTTTAAGAAAGGGCCCTACATTCAAAAATTATTTAAAGAAACTTCTAAGTACATTTTTCTAATTCCTGTGTAATAAAAGAGCTTAAAGGAAGCATTGCTTAGAATGTTATGTAGAAAAGTATAGGAATGCAAGAAATTAAAGCTAGGGAAGGCAGTTCTTTGCAACTTAATACATTCCTAGTAAATGAAACCAAAATGCAGTAAAGAAAATAGTCATTTTGGTTTAAAAAATGTTTATGTTTGTTCAAAAAGATCTAATGCATACTTCCTGAATACACTACCTTAAGTTCAGTAATTATGAACATAATATTTATACTCAAGGGAAGTAAATGATCAGCACATATATATGCTGGTACAGAGAAAGTACTTATTGTATGTGTTGCTCCTGGTACTGCCCATTATTATCCTTCTTTTTTGTTGCCTTTCTTTTGATTTGTAAAGTTAAGACTCAAAACTTGTCAAAAAGTGTAAAAATCACTTGAACACTGAGAAATATTGGGCAGTTTCAGAAAATTGACGTATCTTCCTTTACGGATATATTTCTTCTTACTGCAGATCTAATGCATTTGAAGTGCTGGCACTCGATGGAGTTAGTACTGGGATACTTCAGTTTTATACAGCCCAGGAGAGTGCTGACTGGCTGAGAGCAATATCAACTTACATCAGTGATTTGACACTTCAAAATGTATGTTACTTTCTGCATATTTTCTTGTCTATGCTACTGAAAAATTATTTCTAATTTTCCAAGGGCAGAAAATAATTCACATTTAAGATACAATATATAAAACGCATGTGTATGGGGAGGAAAAGGAGAAAGGAAAGAGCAGGGAGAGGTTGTCTGGTCGATCAAAAGTATCAAGAAGTTTTCAAGACTTGCAGTGTTATTGTAGAACAGAGAGTAGTAGAAAATCAGATTGCATTTATTATTTTAAAGACTTTTTAAGGCAAAATATTTATCCTTTCTGGTCATTTCACAGAGCTTTAGATATGACCAAATATTTCATTTTTACATTTTTGTAAGTAAAATGTGCTTGAAATTAGTATTTGTTGATTTTGAAGTAGGCATGTGGAAATCCTGTAGCTAGTGAAGTGTGACTTATAGAGGCTTATTGGGAGACAGTATTTTTACCTCTCTAAGTTGTCTAGGAGTTGATTTATTTAAGGTCATATTATTTCATCTTTCTCCCTAGAAGTATAAAGGTGTTTATGCTGTTTTAAGTTATTCCTGTAAATTCATAAATAGCATTTGCTATTACAAGCAGAAGTATTAAATAATCTCTGGAGAAACAGAAAATTATTATTTGGACAGCACATTATTATTATACCAAGAAAGAACAGCTGAAAACTATTGAAGATTCTGGAATGAATCATAAAGTTAAATAGGGAACTCGATAATGTACAATATTGAAAATATATTTCAGTCTTTTTGAAATGGTAGAAATCGATGATGAAAACATAAGAGCACAGCTGTCCTGGAAGAATTGCCTGTACAGGTTTTTAATCTTTTTTTCTTTAGATGTCTTCAGACTGTAACTTCTTTTATAAATGATGATTTAGTAGCATGTCCTTAATTTATACTTTGTACTCTAGGTTAATTGTTGCTTAGTTCTTCAGATTATATTGTGTAGAATTTGTATTGGATTTCAACATAAAACTTTGGTCAAAACAGATTATAAATTGAATTTATTTTTCTTGTCTTCAAAAGTTACTTGGAATCACATTTGATCACAATAGTTCATTTATTACGTTAATCCTTTTTAAATATTCAATTGCTTAAGCAATGTCTCTGACAAAATCGACCATTTTTGCTTATGATGCATTCTTTATAAGTATTCTCTATTCTCTATTTAGTGATTTACATTATTTACATGGTATTACTATTTGATAATTCTAAGAAAGCAATGTAAATTATTAATGAAATTTCATAATTCCTTCTGTGCGAATAGCAAAAAGAAGTGTATGGTAATATTTTTAGAGCAATTCCAGTTCATAGTTACTAAGCCCAATTCTTTTGCTTTCTAAAGAAATCCACTGAATAAAAGCCACTCCAAGGATATAGGTGAATAAGACAATAAAAAGTGGCTATAGATGCAAGCAGGTTTTATTAGTCATAGGGTTCTAGTCTGTTTTTTTCAAATGCAGTATGTGCAGTAGCATGCGTCCTGACAGTGTCTTCACGGTGGTGTGACCTGTCTGCAGCAATATTTTATTATATACTGAGTACTTGCATTGGTCTTCTCCGTTATCTATCACAATAGTGAATTCTGTAAATGAAATAGTCCATCTGGTGTTTATATAACTGGCGGTTCCAGGGAAGGGTCTGAGAAACAACAGCCATGATAAATTTACATGTTTTGTGTTCTTGGTGAGATACAGAGTAAACTCTATACAGATCGTATGAGAAGCGAGTAAACTTTTTGCTTGGACAATGTTTTACAGGTTTTGTCAGGTGTGCAGCCTGTGGTACAACTGGAAAGGTCTGGCCAGAGCATTATTTTAATTACTGATCATCAGAACAGGAGATGTACTAGTCAGTGAGAATCCCTTTTATTGCAAACCATTTTTTGAGACCAGGACTGTGAGGCTGGAGTGCAACTAAAGTGTATAGCAAAAGAAGGCTGGAGAGCGCTCTCTGCCTCTGGGCAGCCAGAGGACACAGACTGACATCCACAGTGCTTAGGGCAAGGCCTTTGAATTAGGCTTCTTGAAAATCCATTTTGAATGCTTTCTATCACCTTAATACTATCATTTCACAAAATTATTCTTTTCTTATCATACTTCTGAAATTGACATTAGGGAGTGGATCTGTAATTCCTCAGAGCTTTTTCCTGTTTCTGCACTTCTCCACTTCTGTAGAGTGTCTCCTCCATTCTTCAGGAGTACCTGAAGATAATCACTACTGGCTCAGAGATTATTTCAGATAATCCCTTGTTTACTTATGGGTTGTGCTGGTTTTGGCTTGGATAAAGTTGGTCTGACACCCCCCAGCCATGATAAATTTACATGTTTTGTGTTCTTGGTGAGATACAGAGTAAACTCTATACAGATCGTATGAGAAGCGAGTAAACTTTTTGCTTGGACAATGTTTTACAGGTTTTGTCAGGTGTGCAGCCTGTGGTACAACTGGAAAGGTCTGGCCAGAGCATTATTTTAATTACTGATCATCAGAACAGGAGATGTACTAGTCAGTGAGAATCCCTTTTATTGCAAACCATTTTTTGAGACCAGGACTGTGAGGCTGGAGTGCAACTAAAGTGTATAGCAAAAGAAGGCTGGAGAGCGCTCTCTGCCTCTGGGCAGCCAGAGGACACAGACTGACATCCACAGTGCTTAGGGCAAGGCCTTTGAATTAGGCTTCTTGAAAATCCATTTTGAATGCTTTCTATCACCTTAATACTATCATTTCACAAAATTATTCTTTTCTTATCATACTTCTGAAATTGACATTAGGGAGTGGATCTGTAATTCCTCAGAGCTTTTTCCTGTTTCTGCACTTCTCCACTTCTGTAGAGTGTCTCCTCCATTCTTCAGGAGTACCTGAAGATAATCACTACTGGCTCAGAGATTATTTCAGATAATCCCTTGTTTACTTATGGGTTGTGCTGGTTTTGGCTTGGATAAAGTTAATTTTCTTCATAGTGGCTAGTATGGGGCGATGCTTTGGATTTGTGCTGGAAACAGTGTTGGTAATATAGAAGTGTTTTCGTTACTGCTGAGCAGTGCTTACATTGAGTCAAGGCCTTTTCTGCTTCTCACACCACCCCACCAGTGAGTAGGCTGGGGGTGCACAAGAAGCTGGGAGGGGACACAGCTGGAACAACTGACCCCAACTGAGCAAAGGGATATTCCATACCATATGACGTCATGCTTAGCATGTAAAGCTGGGGGAAGAAGAAGGAAGGGGGGGACGTTTGGAGTGATGGCGTTTATCTTCCCAAGTAACTGTTACGCGTGATGGAGCCCTGCTTTCCAGGAGATGGCTGAACACCTGCCTGCTGATGGGAAGTAGTGAATGAATGCCTTGTTTTGCTTTGCTTGCATGCGTGGCTTTTGCTTTACCTATTAAACTGTCTTTATCTCAACCCATGAGTTTTCTCACTTTTACCCTTCTGATTCTCTCCCCCTTCCCACTGTGGGGGGAGTGAGCGAGCGGCTGCGCGGAGCTTAGTTGCCGGCTGGGGTTAAACCACGACAGGGTTAATTTCTTGAGTCCTTGCTGACTCTAAGTTCAATTGCTTCTCCAAATATTTAAACTATTCATTTCCTATTCTGTCCTATGCCATCATCTCTGTACATAAATTAATTGGTAGATACATGGTCACAATGGACCTTCTTGCTGATACTGTTGGCATAAAGAATGTCAGCATTTTTACCTGACCTATTACTAAGTATTTAAGCAATACTTCCCATTGTTCACTTTTTACTTCCACACATTTTTAGATTTTGTCTGTGCTGATACTTGTTTCTTGACTTTAGCAACTCTTCCTGCACCTTAGTCATTCTTACTTCATCTGTGCCTATTCGTGCTACTCATATACATCCTTTGTCGTACACATTTGCATACCATTTTGAATAATTTCTTTTAGAATTTTAGTTCTTAAAGAGCACCTGATACAGATTAATTGTTTTCTTACAGTGCACCCTAGCTTTCATGTATCACTTTACCCTAACATACTTTATTTTGCTATTTTACCCTAATACAGTTTCGTTCAGCAACTGGCAGCTCTTTGTCAGGTCTCCTACTGATGCCAGAAGACAATCCTAATGTAGGCAGTACAAAAATAGCTCTGCCACAATGTGACACTTCTGCTAATGTCAGAGTAGTCTTTTGAAGTACTGAAACATCTAACGTCTATGCAAAGGCAAGCTCTCTGGGGATCAAGTGTAAAGGAGGAGTCATCTTTCAGTAGTGAAGATGTGAGAAGTTGTCACTGCATAAGGATGCTACCCCTGGATGTTAGCACATCTAGAGAGTGTTACTTGGTAGATGAGAAATAATGATTCTGGTACTAGCCTGGAGAGAGTTAGTTCTTATAAGACAGAGGAGCACAGGGAATACTGCAACATAGAGAAAGATGTAAGGATATCTTTTCAGCCCTCCTTACTGATATATGCCTTGTATGCTTAGCTCGGAAAATCTCCTAGTAACTGTCAGCTTTACAAGCAGTATGGATTACTCTTTTTTCTAAGGTCCCTTGCCCCAAACTATTCATCACTCTGTTCATATTCTTGTTTTTCACGTACTTTTCTACTGGTGTGAAACTTCCCTATCATCTTCCTTTGTGATTCAATCCCCAATCTTCTCAATGTTCTCAAAGCTCTTCATGTCTACCTTTGGCAGAAGAAAATAGAGACAAATCAGCACCTCACATTTATTTCTTCATACACCTCTTTTCTCGCAGAAGGAGGTACAGTTAAAGAAACTGAGGGGAGAGAGGGAACAGAAACTGGCAGTGAAGCTGCTTGTGATGAAATAAGAAGCACAGGAAACAAGTTGATCTGCATGTGCTTCTCACTGCTCCTGTTCTTAATTTGTTCAGCTAGAGGGTTCTTTGTAGGCTGAAGTGGCAATGCTGTGCTGGAGATGTTTTTTTAGGATAGAGTTCTTTGGAATAATTTATATTTCTCTCTCTGTTTTGCACCATTCAGATCTTAATTATTTTATTTGTAACATAACACTGAACGTTAATGTAGTCATAATCAGTAGAAACACCTGAAGGTAATGCTACCAGTTCATTTACATTATAGAGACTTGTTTCTTATAACTTTCTCAAGGTTTTATTTTTTTCCCCAGTATATTCTAATGGTGTTATTTAAAAAAAAAATATTCACAAATAAATGAGTAGTTCATAAGCAGGTAAGAGAATGAGTTAAGATGCAGTTGTTCCACTTCAAACATTATTTATGATTTTTATAAATCATTCCAGTAGTTTCATTGGAGGATCGTAGAAACTTAAAATTTGGCTTCAAAACAAGGTTATTAATCCGGATCATATTTATGCCTTTGACAGCTTTTTTAATTGTGTATGTCATAGTGTGTAAACCTTTTCTTTTACGCCTTCATGTACACGTATATCTAAGTGATACTCCATATCGCAGTGGAGTGAAATTTCTGTTTGAAAAGGGAGAGATATGTGAAATATGAGCTTTGAACATGCATATAAAAAAAGAAAGAGGATTGAGAAGGTCTTGCTTTCTTTACACAGCAGAATGTGGGGTACCTGTAGATGGAAACAAAATCCTTGTGTGTAGGAAGCAGAATACAAATTTGACTGCCTCAATGATTATACAAACAATTCTATTCCCAGGCTGAAAACATGTGATAATATTTCTTTGCTGCTGCTTTTTTTTTTATTTTTAAACTCAAGAATTTCCATTTGAAAGTACCACAGTTCAAACCGTTGAGGTTGTAAAGGGAAGTCAGTAAGGGTAGGAATCACATCACCTAAATTTAGCCAAGCAACAAGCAGTTGCATAGGATACTCTTATAGCCGGGAAAAAAAAAATAGGTGCCTGTCAAGATTCTTCTCTCTGTCTGCTGTCTGGAAAGAGAAAATAGGTATATTAGATGTATAACTCTTTCCTTTTTTGGCTTGCCAAAGTTAAGTGACATAAATCGCAGCCTGGGAGGTATTTAGATTTAGGTATATGGTTCTGAATCATTTCATCCCCATTCTGTTCCTGCCCCGTATGTATTCATTTAGAACAGAGTATAGGAATTATAATTGCCTAATAGTTCCTTTTCCAAGTTGCCTGCAGTCTTTGCAGATCCAGGTTTTTTGTTTCATTTCCCCTGCTGTCTCCAGCTCCCATTACTGTACTGCAGTGCTGAAAGCTCATGCGCTGTCTGCAAGGTGTAGCGTATCCCATTTGTATTCCTGTCTCTCTGCACCAGCTGTGGAGGCATGGAGAGAACATGTGGTGCCAGGGGAAGTGGAGAGTGCATACTTCCCTCTCCTCAGCCCCATGACATAGGTACATAATGTGATGCAGAAGAAGATTTTTCCTCTCCCCACAGTTACGTGAGGGCTGCAGCCATCCCTGCTTTGAATAGGGAATGAGCTAAGACTGTGCAGTGAATAGCTGTGGAGTCCAAAGCAATCTTCCCTATTGCCCTTACCGATGGGAAGCTGGACTGATTATGAGGATACTCTTCACAATACTCTACCCTCACTCTGCAGAAAAACTGCATGGCCAGTCTCACACACAGGTTTCCAGGAACATCTGAACACAATAAAATAAAAAGTAGGATAACAAAATGTCTTCCTATCATACAGGGAGCTTAAGTAGTTTGACTGAACCAAAAAGGAGGGTGAAAGGAGACAGGATCCCTGCTAGCCCTGTTTTTTTTGCACTGTTTTATGCTATAGTAATCTTATTATTCAGCATGTCTTTGGCCACCTGCAAGGAAATAATATTTTCTGTGTGTATAACATGGCTTCTGTATAGTTACTTCATGAATGTGCCTCTGAAGCACTGGAGAAAGGCTGGAGCTCAATATGGGCAGGGTGTGACAGCATTCCTACTGACAAAGTATTCCAGGTGCCTTTTCGTTATGTCCTGCACAACTGCTCAGGGTTAAGCCTATTACCGAATCAGCCTGGTGGGGTCTGCTTCCTTCTGCAACACTGGGCATGTTACCAATTTGTTTTATCCAAGTTACAGAGTGGGGTTCTTGAGTTCTCGCTGGTTTGTTACTGTCGGGGCCCCAAGAGCACCAAGAAGCTCTGCCACTTCTTCCCCCTCCCAGGGTGCTCCAGGCCACCTCTGGCATGGTGCAGCCATGCACCCCGGGGTCAGGCTGCTGTAGGCAGAGCTGTGTGTGAGACCTGCGAGGAACCTTGCTGGGGGCCCCCACCTCCGCTCGGCAGCTGCATGTCAGCTCTGTCCTCATCATCAGTCCTTGTCTGTGCTATGGTGCAGGTGCCTACACCTGCAGGCTGTGACCCACCTCTGTTGTGGTGGTCCCCGTTCCTCCTCTGGGGTGGCAGGGAGGTGATGGGGAGCATAGCAGGGCCCCTTCAAGGGGCTGGCAGGCTCTCCTGGCACTCTACCCAAGGTCACAGCCAGGCCGGGCAGATGGCCCAGGCTCCCAGCAGGTCTGGCCACCTCATCCCCAGAGCCTCAGTCACTCCCAGCTGTCTGTCCCACCAGCATACCTGCACGTTTGACCACACAATTCCGTTCAAACAGGCTGCAAAAGTGAGCATATGGGGGAGAAGGAGCCCTGATGGCCCACAATGGGTTAGGACTGACTAATGAGCTCCTACAGCCCTGAGCCTTGGTATCACCCTGTGTCCATACAGTCAAGGCTCCTACTGCCATCCTGTACTCCTCCACATCGCGTTTTGTTCTAGGGTCATTTTGTTTACAGTCATAGATAATTCACCCTATGCAGAATAATGACTTGTTATTGCTATTAGCTATAAATGTGTGTGTGTATACACTTTATATGCTTTATATATATACCTGTAGCTTTTATATATGTATAGATCATTACATCCCACAGCTGTACTTTGCTAAAACCAAGTAGGCAATAGTCTCATGGTCATTAGATGTTTATGTTATGCCTAAACAAGCTGTAATACACCTCCAGACAGTCCAAGACAACTCCAGACAAACCCTGACACATCCTGAGGCCCGTGTCATTAGCATAACGCAAAGCCTGTTGGCCTCTTACAGGTGTGCTCGCTCTGGCTGGGATGGAGGTAACTATCTTCATAGCAGCCATACGGTGCTGTGTTTTGTATTTGTGGCTAAAACAGTGTTAATAACACACCAATGTTCTGGCTGCTGCTGAACAGTGATTGCACAGCATCAAGGCTTTGACTTTTTCTCACTCTGACACACCCCACCCTTCGCAGCGAGGGATGGGCAAGGAATTGGGAAGTGACACAGCTGGGACAGCTGACCCAAATTGGCCAAAGAGATATTCCATACCATATAACATTGTGCTCAGCAATAGAAGTGATGTAGCGAACAAAGAAGGTGGGGGGTTGTCTTCCAAGGTGGCTGTTGCTTGGAGACTGGTTGGGCATCCGTCTGCTTGTGGAAGGCAGTGAGTGGTTGCCTTTATATCACTTGTATTTTTCCTGTTTCCTTCACTTATTAAGCTGTCTTTATCTTGACCCATGAGTTTTCTTGCTTTTGCTCTTCCTGTTTTCTCACCCTTCCTGCTGGGAGGGGGAAGGGAGTGAGCAGCTGTGTGGGTGCTCAGCTGCTGGCCAGAGTCAACCCACTACAACAGGCAATGGCATCACCATATTTACTGAGCTACGTGGCTGCTTCCAAAGATTATCCACAGATTTGATCTTAGAAATCTGGTATGGCCAGGATACAAGCGATAGCCTTGGATTTCTTCTGCTCTTTTCCTGTGACAATTGTAGTTTTCCCTGTGCATAGCTATAACTTTTGGTCTTCTATCACAAGCCTTTCATTTGTTATGAAACAGGCTTTTTGACAACAAGATCCTTTGCAAGTACTCATCAACTGTAGGACAGTTTGCAGCTTATATCCTTGCATATAGGGTAGTCTGTCTTTCCAGTCATTTAATCTTTTTCTGTCTAGATTCCATATTGTTAGTACGCTTACTAATATTGCACTTTAAAGTGTTTCACTTTAAAGAAGGGAATACCTGTCAGGGTTTGTCCACCACTCATCTATGCAAACTATGACTGCCAAAGAAAAGCCAAAATCAACAGAACTCTTCATTATCTGAACACAGAGGAAAAAGAAAGATATGTAACTTCATCTTGAAGAGTAAACTAAAAGGAAAGCCTAAACAATATTCCCTTCATCTTTAAACATGTCTTACACTCTATGGCCTTCATTTCATAAGTATTTAATCACATGCCTCATTTATAGATCTGCTTAAGCAATTGTTTAACTGATACCTAAGTGAGGTATCTACAGTACAGTATAATATTTTCACTCAGAGTGGAAAAGTTAAATTCATAAATGCAAATCTTTATGAAGGATTTAATGAAGACTCTGATAAAAGGCTTCCTGTCTTTTGAGTCCTTGGTTTTGTAAGTTTTTTGTAATAGTAAAAATCTAGTATTAATTCACTGAATGATTTAATTTCTTATAAATATAATTGGAAGTATTAATACAGTATTCAATAACTAAGTCAATGCTAATTGCATCACAGAAACTTCAGCATACTAATATCTCTGTGTATTCTTCCATCTCTCTTTCATAGATGAAAATGGCAAATAAATGCTGTTCTCCCTCAGAGCAGGTAAGACTTTCATTATATTATCCATTTTTTTTCATTCTTGTCATTGTGTTAAATTGCAAAATTTGTAGAGCTTACATACACACATTTAGTCAGTTTTAAAATTCTAAAACCAAGTCTTCTATGGTTTGAAGTTCTGAAGTGACCTTCTTAATACAGCAGATTCTTACTAATCCACAGTGATGAGTAGAATCCTCCACTGTAGACCTAAAAAGTGGATTAGATGGAGCCATGAAATAAATGAGAGGGTGACAATGGAACTCACAACCAGGTCTTGGAAAGTGTAGTGTTATGTTTGCATGCAATATTGCAGCAGTGAGTCTGACAAGTTAACTCTATATTTACATCACATATGGTGCACAGATAGCCAAGGAGTGTATTACAAATCCAATCTGTTTTGCATGTGTCGTGCTGTGTAGACTATGTTTGCCATGACTGTTTGGGACTTTTGGAGCTTAGGAGCCTGATGAGGTATTTCTTCTGCTCCAACTAGCCAAATGTCCTGAAGACCCAGATGAATTTACTGCATTGGGAAGTATTCTTACTTCTTGTAGCATTGCAAAGAGTTTTTTTATTTACTTTGTAAAATATAATAGTAGCATTTTCCAGGCTAATTCTGTAATTCTGAGAAGTATTTTGAAGCTTGTGTTATAAAACTATTGAGTTTCACTTACATGTCCTTTCATTGCATCAATGTGGCATTGAGTCATTACTCAGGAACAAAGAGCCCAATCCCTGCTGTTTTCAAAAATGCTGGGTTTGTGGATTATAAAAGTGAAAATTAGGCAAGGTATCTTTTATACTGTTTTACTGCAGAAATTTATTATGGAATTTTATTACAGAAGTCAAAGACTGAGTCAAAAAGTTCTTCATATCGGGATCAAATAAATATTTATTAGTTTGACAGCTTGTGTATTCTTTCAAATGTCACCGTTTCGTCATCTTATTTGTAAAATGTACTTGGACATTTATAGACTCTTCTAGAAGTTATTAAAAATATTTAACCATTGAAATTTTTTACATAGGAAACTTTTTTTATATTTGGGTCAGTACTTCGAAAAAAAATACACCTCAAAAACCACTACAGACTTTAATTCTGTGTATAGTAGATAATCAAGTTACCCCCAAAACCAAAATAAATACCTATTCTGTATAAGAAGGGAGCATTTAATTACTGTCTCTGCCATGGCTTTTAATTATTAATTAAACTGATATGAAAAACAGATGATTATGAATGCCAGGGGGAAAGGTATTGAATTTGGATATCTTTTGTTGGATGAACTCTTTACTACAAGTACTTTAGTAAATATTTAAAGTTTATTCATATCAGTTTGGGCACACATAACGGGTTTAGTTGAAAAAAGGAAGACATATTCTTCCTCAATTTTTAAAAAAATATTGGGGACAGGGATACAACCTATCACTAACTACCTAATTTGATTTCCTAAATAAATGGGCTAGTCTCCATAAACTGCCTAGATAGTCAGTGCAGAAAACTATTCTGTTCCAGGGAGTTGTTCAAATGTGAAATTTGATATCAACGCTTTAAATCATCCTTTATAGGAGCCTCTTTTTCTGTCTTGACTACACTGAGGTCCTAAGAAGAGTAGCCTCGTAGCATATCATTTAAAGTAGGTGCCTAAAGTTAGGCAGTACAAATCTATCCCACTTTTTCCATTCCAAATATGAAAAGAAGGGAAGATACAATTAGAAACTTAATTTCAGGAGTTGAAAATTTAAGCTGGGACTGACAGCAGCAAACATTAGATTGTTCTCTGCCAAAAAGTGAGAAAAAATAAAATTTATAATGAATTTGGGCAGATCAAGTAAATAAAACAAGCAAACATAAAAATATTAAAGGAGCAAATGTGAAAAATTAAGACTTTAAAATGCCCTGTGAAAATTAGCTTTAAAAGCAACCAGAATGTGAATCTCTCATATATATATCTCTGTCTCTCTCACAAAGGAATAAAATAAAACTTGGCAATGGTAATTAAAAACAGAAGAGGACTTGATCTGCCCGAGATTAATGGAGCCTATTAATGTCAGTTACATAATGTTTGTACAAACCTGAATAGCTCTTATTAATGCAATTGATTTAAAATTTAGAGAAAGGAGAAGCTTAAAAGATTGACGGTCACTCAAAGAGCTGCCTTGAAGTGAAATGGTGATAGCTGTAAATTTATCTTTGCTTTTGAGTATGGACATTCCTGAAGAATTAAACAGGTTCTTAGAGGTTCATTATTGTGTCACCTGCGGTGAGTTTTCTTCATTGCCTTTAGAGTCCAACTTAATATTTCATAAAGGGACGAGGTTGGATCAGCATAGATTTCATTGAGATTCTGTTTTTCATAGGTCATTAACAAACTGGGATTCAGGGTGAAGAACATAAAAAATTACTCTGCTAAACCTGTCTTTCTTCCTTGTCTTTCATATTGCCCCTGACGAGTTTTACTGGAAACTGAATCTCCAGAACATGATGAATTCCATGGGCAGACAACTAAGCAAGTTGGAAAGTGAAAGGACTAAGATATTAGTTTCCAGGTCTAAACCAGGTGTATTTATGGGTTTCTTTGCCAAAAGAAGATGTCAAACAAAGAGTTTGGACTTTGCCCTGTGTCTGTGATCCAAAGTTAGAAAGAGGTAGTAGGAAAGGTAGTAGCAGTTGTCATTATTATGAATATATTTGTGCTGTTAAAATAAACAAGACCAGGTCATGAAGCTAATTGACATGGTCAAAAGTACTTCCAGACTTTCAAATTCTCTTCTCCCACCAAATCAGGGTGTCTGCATTTAAACTGCCTATTGGAAATTATTCCCACCAATGCTTAGATCCCAGACTGTCCTTGGGAATTGTTTGGAGAGTTCTAGTTATCCGAGGGCATGTCATGCTAGTTAGTCCATGTCAAGGACTACAAGATTTTAACAAATATGCAGGGATTACACGAATTTGAAAGGTATTAAATAACTGCTGAAGCTCTGGCTCTAAATGTGTGTATAACCTGTATAGATGACGAAGCACACAGCATCTACGCGCTGGATACTTTTAGAGCATATTGGTGCTCCACAAGGAGAGAAGGGGATTGAACCAGTTTGTACATTATTTTATTGAGTATGGAGGATGTTTACAGCCACCATTCTCCAAATATTGTAACTTTTGATTCTGCTTGATATAATTTATTACAGTGCTCTAGAGACTCGAAAGCACTTGATTCTGAGTTATCAGTAGGCGGTTAGATTTGGGACTCAATTTTCAAAAAGATACACACTGCTGGATTGCTCTATATTTTTTATGAAACAGTAAATTAGGCAATTCTCTGTACAGAAAAACTATTTGCAAGGTTTTTTATTTTGTTTGCTGGGTGTTTTTTTCTGTTTTTAAGACTAATATTATCATTTCCTGTCCTCTACTAAAACAATACAGTTTCTTCTCAGTAGAAATAGGAAAATATTGATCAGATATTAATTAACACTATGTATATTTTTTCTTGTGATTCTGTAAAACAGATTTTCACTACTTCTAGGATGCCTCTTCCCTTGTTTGTTTCAATTTTTTGCAGTGACCTCTTCATTGGCCTCCAGAGGAAATCATACAGAAAATGAAATCTAGAGACAATGATTGTAAAAGCATAGCATGTGATAGTACCAGGAAGGCCAGGACACAGATTAAGATGCAACCAGCAAGGGATAGCTGGGTAACAAAAAATTACCCTCTAAGTGTATTAATAGCAAGAAGACAAAGGAAAATGTTTGTCTCCTACTTGGCATATCAGAGGTCAGCCCTCACTGAAAAGGTCAACTGCAAAAGATGGTTATTGCAAATAATGCTAGCAAAACCCAATAAAATCTCAGATTACAATATAAAGGGAAGTTTTGATGGTATGTATGCTTTTAATGCCTGGTGATATTTGAAAAACTGGTCAAAGTAATCTCAGAGCTATTATCAAGATATTTCAGGGAATTTGTGTCTGCCAGGTGATATATCAAAAGATTAGGAAAGGGCAAACATCATGGCTGTTAATGGAAAAAGAAGGAGAAATTGGAGAATTAGAGACTAGTCAATTTAACTTCAATCTCTAGAAAGAAATTTGAAATAAATAAACAAAATATTTGTATGCAGCTGCAAGATAACAAATGAATGACCACCCTGAAGGATTTGTCAAGAATAAATAGTGACAACCAATCTAATTTCCTCCTGTGATAGTATAACGCATCTTGTGGATGGGCGACAGGCGGTTGCTGCAGTGTATCTTGATTCCAGTAAGGTTTATGACAGTTCTTGACATTACAATATTTTAAACAAGTATTATACGGATCTGGTTGTACAGACTTTGTTGGATAATCTAATAATAGATATAAATGGTTCACTTTCAAAACTGACACATTGACTAGAAGTCCTGAAAAGGTCTGTCCTGGATCCAATTCCCTTGAATACTTCCTTTATGGTGCGTTAGCAAAAGCAAGCCTACTAGTTTTGCAGACATGATGCTTTAAAATACAGTGTTAGACATCAGAATGATCTTGACATATTGAAGAATGAGTCTGAAGAACAGTATGGAAGCCAATTAGGGTACAGCACATAGACAAGAATAATCAGGTATATGTGAGAGGCTGTGGGAAACAACTGGAGAAGTTGTTACTGGAAAATACTTGAAAAGTATCTGGGGATGTAAATTCTTTTAGGGAGATTTGGTCCATCCTCCATTGCCTTGCTAGCACTTAGGGAGGCCATCCCAGATGCCCCTAACTGTAGAAGCCAGTCAGATAGAGATAGTAAGAAAAACAACAGGTTCATTGTTATGATTTATTATTATGGTTTGTTATTACATCAGCCTGTGGTAATCAGGTACAGGGCTGATCAACAGAGACCCCCAAAAGCCCTATTCATATGGTTTACCTTATATTCCTTTTCCCCCAGTTTCTTCCCCTCCCAAATAAGGAACCCACTCACGTTTTACCATTGGTCCTTATTTTTTCTGATTTTTACATGCTTATTTGGTTAT